CCCGTTCACTCCCCCCCCAGTCTCTCTCTCTCTCCCCCGTCAAAGCTTGGCCTCGCCGGGCTGTCTCTCCCCCCTCACCAGTCTCTCTTCCCCCTCCCCCCACTCTCTCTCTCTCTCTCTCTCTTTTTCCCCGTGTACCGAGGCCCGCGCGGCTTACATCCGCCGGGCCTCGGCAGTCTCTCTTCCCCTCCCCGACTTTCTTCCCCCTCCTCACTTGGCGGCGGGGTGTCTCTCGGAGCGGCTGTTTCCCCCCCCTTCCGGCTCCGCATCGAGGCTGCCTCGGGCCTCGCTGTTTCCCCGGCCGCCTGCCTGTCCGCCCGGCCTCCTCCAGGTGGCTGTGGCAAGGTCGGCTAAAGAGCGTTCGTGCGCATGCGCACGAACACTCTGGCACTTTCGGGGGGATTTAAACATCCCCCCGATATTTTTTTTTAGTTTTTAGATTTTTGTGCACCCCTGGGGACTGCCCCAGGAGTGCACAGACCTCCCCCTGCCCCCCAAGTGCCCCCGAAGTGCGGATATAGCGATCCGCACGGAGGGGGCAACTTGGCTATTAGATATAGTGATAGATGTTTGTGGTGTCTTCTGTGGACTCGTTTTCCTTTGACTCAGCCTCAGGGATATGGACGCTCATACTTAGCAGTATTTTCTAGCATTTTGCAGCCTTCTGCTTATTGGGCTACTCCACAGGTTTGATCCAACGGGAGACTTTGATTTATGCCACTTCCGGCGGCTTCAGCTCAGAGGTGTGTGGTGGCCTGTCTTGCTGAGTTTAAATTGTTTGGCACCTAAATATTCTCTGTAGATTGCCCTTGTATTATCTATTTAATGCATGCCATCCTGTCAGTGGTGTAATATGATTTGCAAATCTAAACACAATGCCCTTAAAAAAAAAAAATTGGTGCGTGCATCACTTTTATTGTAACATGCAAGATGAGTGAAAAAGCAATGATTGGTTTTTTAGAAGGCCAACAGACTTTTCAAAGAACAATGGACATTTCTGAGAGTCCTTATTGCTAAACTACCAGGGCATGACCCAGTCAGAGGTAACAACTTTTGCATCCGTTGATTTCAGTGGAAGAAACACGCTTAACTTGAGCTGGAATTATGTCCCTTCTACAGCCGACCTTCCATTATTGCAGCAGAGAAGGAGAAAATCCTCGATTCCAAATGTCACACATTAAACCGAGAAACCGCAGCCTTTCCAGTATGCCGGCTAATCCATTCGAAATAATCTGCTACCTTTGTGTAAACACCGGGGTGTTCTGCTTCACCACAGCGCTCACGGAAACCCACAATACCCCAAACATAAGCTACATTATTAGAGTCGAAACAAACCAAAGGTCCTCCTGAGTCACCTGCACAGGAATCTACAGAACCATCATATGTACCTGAGGGAGAAAAAGCAAAAAAACCACCCCACCTCATTGTTAGATGCATCATTTTGTGGAACTGAAACATGACCATTTTTTGGTAAGTGCTCAGACTGTCGTAAAGCTTGATATTGGGTGCATTGGTGCATTATTCAACTCTAAACTGGGATTTTTCCACGAGAGGCTATAAATAAGGTTAAGAATTCCACCTGGCACAGAACACCCCTACTTCCTTTGACCAAGAAGCCTGAATCTGGATATCACAGCAAACTGGAGTTTGGTTGAGGACGTTTTGATTCAAGCGTCATATGTGAAGGAAGAGAGGGGCAAATGCACAAGCATGTGTTTGTGCCCATTGTGACAAATTTCAGTAAAATCTCAGTTTGACATCTGAATGCAGCAACTGATGACAGGCAACACAATCCAGAATATCCAGAAAGGCCCAAGTGTATATATAGATACCTTGTTCATACAAGGTGTTACTTAGTGATAATGGATGTTGCTTCCAGTTAACATTTCACACACTGGGTGCATTCAGATGGGGCGTTTCAGCCAGCATAACCTGTACCGGTTGGAACCGGTGCAGTTTATGCCGGCTGAAACGCGATCAAACTTAACTCCTGTCTGCGGAGCCCATCGCTGTATGCCCGTTCACATGCAGTGGGCATCGGCGGTTTTTTTTTTTTTAAAGCACTCAGTTTGAGCATGCGCATAGGCAGCCATCCACAGAATGGCGATCTTCACGCATGCGCAAAACACCCCGTCTTACATTTAAAGTTTAATGGTAAGGACTTACCTTTAAAGTTTGAAGACCAAACTGGCCTCCCTGAGGTCTCAGAGTCCTCCAAAACCTTAAACTAAGGACCTTTTCTTTTTTTTTTTAAACAAACGCCGGGGCGAAGCTTCGCTCAAGCGTATATCGCCGACCTAAAAAAAAAAGGCGGGCAAAAACCGGAAGCCTCGGGCTTCCGAACGGAAGTGGCTCTACAACGTTGGAGAGCGATCAGATGGGGGTAAAGCGATTACAACCGTTGCACTCAGGATACCACCACTTGGGGACCTAGTGGCAGAATACAACGGTGTAAAGCTCTTTGCAACGGTTAGGAACGGAAGGCAGATGTTCGCCGTGTGAACGCCGGTAAGTACACCGATTCTAACCGGCACCTATACCGTTGCAAATGCCCCGTCTGAACGCACCCAAAGTCTTATAGAAGTTTATAGAGTTATTGTAAAAGTTCTATATGTTGTATTTAAAAAAATCAAACAAAAAGCAAGAGACTGAATTCTTGTTAACTTAGAGAATTGCCTATGGGCAAACCTACTCCCTATGCTATTCATTATTTGCCTCTCTGCCCAATAACTGGCCAAGAGCTTTGTGACTGCAGAGGAAGTTATGCTGTTCCCAGCAGATGGGGAGGTATTTGAACATTTTGCTACATCGGTGGCCGCTCTAGATGGCTAGACTGTTATCACCGTAGGGGGTGCAATTTGGATTTACTGGGTTGGATCCAGTACAAAATTTCCACTTGTTCTAGAGATCCTGAATGAGAAGAAATGCAAGGAAAAACCCAAGGTAGCCACTTGTGCTGCCAGATTTCTTGTATCCCCACTACCCCCACGGTAGTCCCACTGTGCTAAGTCCATTTATATTTCTGCTTGTGTGCACAGCTGGATCTAAGGTACCGAAACAAATCAGCCTAAATCGTCTTGGCTCACGGGTACGTGCCAGGGTGGGCACCGAAGTTACATGAATCACACTCACCTGCACATTCCATGCCTTTAAAATAACGATCCTTGTAGATTTCAGAGCAGTTGGACATTAAGTTAACATAGCCCCATTGAAGTGTAAATTGTCTTTGATTACCTAAAAGAGGAATAAAAGAGCAAAAAAAAAAAAGAGTTTAGAAATTGTTCAGAATTCAGTAAAAACAAGCTGGGGACCCATGCGATTGGTGTGGTGGCCCAGAACAGGAGCAGACTCCCAAGGCCTGTGAAAAGTACGCAACCAGAGAGTGATTTCAGCAAAGCGTACTTTATTCTATCAGGAACAAGATGACTTTGGCTGGCTCGAAGGCCGGCTTATATCCCCCGAGAAACCGCCACCCAAAACACACACACCCCACTTCCCAATAGGTTATTTACAGTGGCCGAGAGTCCCATAGGCTCTGGGCCGGGAACCTAGCCCCCTGATTGGAGCGGGGTAGGATCCGTATAGTCCATTGTCTCTTGGAACGAAGCTCGACGTTTGTCTCTGGACTTGTCTGGACTGGGTACATTACAGCCTGCCTGTCAAAAGAGCTACTTCCTCAGCCTGACAGGACAACTACTCCACCTGAACGAGAAGAGCAGTCCCTATCCCAGTCTCTAGTCTCTTCCACATGGAGGTTGTGCCTGCATTCCCTCCAAACTGGAGTGGGGTGTGTGTGTATGTGCTTTGTCATGCTTCCCCCCCCCCCCAACCTGCTATGGTGCTATCCTTCCAGGAAGATCATGCTGAAAATAGGTTTGGGGGATCTCAGTGTTCCCTCTAAGCTGAGTGAGTGTGAGCTAGCTCACAGGTTTTTTAGCCTCCGGCTCACAGATTTTTGCCTTCGCTCAGGAAGGGATGGCTCCAGAGCAAACGAGCTTATGCAGTAGCCAAATCGCACTCTCACAACGTTAATGCCAGTAGCTCACAGAGTAGAATTTTTGCTCACAAGACTCCACAGCTTAGAGGGAGCATCGTTTGGGATCTGTGTAGACGGGGAGGGGTGGATTTCTGCACCTCTCCACCCTCCTCCAGTTTAATTGCCTCTCCATTTCCATTGCCCCTGCCATTCTGCGTTCTCACCCCCCACCTACTACCAGTTTTTAAAAAATGGTAACAACATTACTGCCGGGTAGGGTTGCCAAGTCCCGCTGCCAACTGGCAGGGGATGGGGGGGGACTTATCAGGAGAAACGGGAAGGCCTAGGTAAGCCACATTGCTGGCATTGCACAGGAAGTGATGCTATCAGGCTGTTGACAGCACTGTGTTGACCAATGCCCCCTCTAAGCTGTGGGGTCCTGTGAGCAAAAATCCCACTTTGTGAGCCGCTGGCATTAAAGGTGGGAGCGAGCGGTTTGGCTGCCGCATCAATGAGTTGGCTCTGGAGCCATCCCTTCCTGAGCTAGGACAAAAATCTGTGAGCTGGAGGCTAAAAAACTGTGAGCTCGCTCACACTGACTCAGCTTAGAGGGAACACTACATGACACTCTGGTATTTGGGCAAATAACGCTGTAGTAAAAACAGGTTCTAGGTAAAAGGTAAAGGTTTCCCTTGCTCGAAAGCCAGCCAAGTCCAACTCTAGGGTTGCGGTGCTCATCTCTGTTTCAAAGCCTGAGAGCCAGCGCTGTCCGAAGACGTTTCCGTGGTCATGTGGCTGGCATGACTAAACACCAAGGCGCATGGAACGCTGTTACCTTCCCACCGAAGTGGTACCTATTTATCTACTTGCAATTTCTTGCTTTCGAACTGCTAGGTTGGCAGGACAGTTTCTACCATAGAATTTTTGCCCAAATACCAGTGTCGCCCAGATGTCTCTGGTGTGTTGATACCACTTCCTGCGTAATGCTGTCCACGCGGCCTGGGCCTTCCTCTCTCTCCTGGTAAGCCCCTGCTGGCCAGCTGATCAGCAGCTGTGGGTTCCTGCCTGGTGGTGGAGGACCTCTGCCTCCACTGAGTACAGATGCCAGCCTCCAGGTGGGACCTGGGGATCCCCCGGAATCCCAGCTCATCTCCAAACTACAGAGATCAGTTCCTCTGAGAAAAATGGATGCTTTGGAGGGTGGACTCTGCGGCATTGTGCCCCACTGAGGTCCCTGCCCTCCCCAGGCTCCACCCCCAGATCTCCAAGAGTTCCCCAACTTGGAGCTTGCAAAGCTACCCCCCATCCCCCGCCGGGGACCAGAATTGGCTACATCTGGTTGGAGGTGCCCCTTCCCAAAAAAGGAGATGCAGGCTGCTTATATATCCATTTACAACCACACCCATTACACACACACACACACCTGTGATAGGGAGTTACAATCTTATAGGTTCTTCGTAGAATCCCTACTCCGTAGAATCCTAAAAGGAATCAACCCTGACTGTTCCCTGGAAGGCCAGATAATGAAACTGAAGCTCAAATACTTTGGCCACCCAATGAGAAGGGAGCCCTCACTGGAGAATAAGACCCTGGTACTGGGGAAGACTAAAGGTCAAAGAAGACGGGGACGGCAAAGGATGAGATGGTTAGACAGTGTCATAGATGCAACGAACATGAAATTGGGCCAACTTCAGAGGACGGCGGAAGACAGGAAGGCCTGGCGTAATCTGGTCCATGGGGTCGCGAAGAGTCGGACTCGACTGTGCGACTGAACAACAACAAAATGGGCAATAAACATGAATAAGGAAGTTTTGATTGAAACCTGGGAATATTTGTGGAAAAACTCTATTAAGATATCGCCCTGTACTAATATTAGAGAGAATTGCTATAAAATGATGTATAGGTGGTACATGACTCCGAAAAAAATTGCAAATATGAACCAGAATATGTCAAACAAATGTTGGAAATGTAAGAGTCATGAGGGCTCATTTTACCATATGTGGTGGACTTGCGAGAAAGCTGTAGACTTTTGGACAAAAGTCCACAAAGTAGACAATGGAAAGGATGAAATGGTTTAATTTTAAATGTTGAATTCCTAAGAAAATAAAATTTGTTTACCTAAAAAAAAAAAAGAAGTTCTCCGTAGAATCCCTACTCGCCGGTTGGCTGGTTTTAGGATCCTAGGACTCCTTGTCCCTGGTAGCGAAGCTTCGCTAGTTGGTCTGGCCACGTGGCGCCCCGACCGCATGTGCGGTTCCGCTAGTACACAACACCAAATATCTCAGCTGTTAGTCCTGCTGGAAGTTTGAAGCTGCTGAGGCTGATTACATATTGGAGATTCGCGTCCGTTCTCGTATTGAATTGTTATTGTTCCCGGTGCATGTGAGTAAAAGCATGGAAACCACAGCAACTTAAAGGGAACACCAGGATGAAGGATGGACTTTGATATGTTGTAATCAAACATCCGGACACAACATCGCATTATTTCATTAGTTCTCCATCATTCTGTGGATTTTTCTGTTGTAGTGTATTATCACACAAGTTCTTCATTGCTTCCGTCTTGTGTCTTTTCTTATGTGGCTACTTTGTATGCGCTACTTTCTGTCACATGTTCTTTAGCATTTTGGCAAATTGTAAGTAGTTAAGACGCTGCAGGCTGTGGAAGGTCGGTCATTCAGCAGTTCGAGACCCGAGTGCGCCGCATGACGGAGTGAGCTCCCGTCTCTAGTTCCAGCTCCTGCCAACCTCGCAGTTCGAAAGCAAGAAATTGCAAGTAGATAAATAGGTACCTCTTCGGTGGGAAGGTAACAGCGTTCCGTGCGCCTCGGTGTTTAGTCATGCCGGCCACATGACCACGGAAACGTCTTCGGACAGCGCTGGCTCTTTGGCTTTGAAACAGAGATGAGCACCGCAACCCTAGAGTCGGACTCGACTGGCTTTCGAGCAAGGGAACCTTTACCTTTACCTTTTAAGTAGTGAGTCTGTTTACTACACTTGTTTTTGCCTTCTGTTATTGGATTATTACACAAGAGTGTCATGAACGTCGTTGAATGCGCCCTGTGGAGCTGCCAATTTCTCCGGGAGGAACTGCTCTCTGTAGCCCGGAGACCAGCTGCCATTCCAGGAGAACCTTGGCTCATTCTAGCTTGGCAGGGTTACAGGCCAGCTGCAATGGATGAAGTCATAATTCCATTACTCTGTCATAAAATTCTAATTACCTTCTGCCCGTCCCCAGCCGGACACTTTGCACTGGTGGCCTGCTCTGAACATATAAGGGGACCAGGGGATGCAGGCGGCCACCGTGTTGGGTCGAGAACACATCTGCCTTGGATACTTGTCATTCATTTCCAGCAGAGCAATATCGTTTTCATATGTTTGGGGATTATAGTCCTCGTGGATGATCACTCTTTTTAAAGAAAAGGTTTCAATCCTATGGCTCCAAATTAACATATTTAACAAGCCAGTCCATATCACAGAGGCACGAACATCGCTTTCTCTGAAAAAGAAAACAAATACAAATATAAAACCTTAGCCTGTAGATATTCAGTACATGAATTAATCAGTCAAAGGGGTTATATAATTATTCACCCCACCCCGGTGTGCGCATCACCAGGAAGTGACGTTATGACACCAGACACGCTGGGGGCAGGGCCAAGACCATCCGAGGGGAAACTGTGGTTTCCCCTTGGATGGTCGTGACCCCGCCCCCAGCGTGCCCGGTGTCATAACGTCACTTCCTGGTGACATGCGTGCAGCACGCTTCACGCACGTGCGCTCCAGGATCCACCCGGGAGTCCCCCGCTACGGAGATAAGCTAGACTTGGCAACCCTACAGCCTCCAGGTGGTGCCTGGAGATCTCCGACTATTACAGTTCATCTCCAGATGACCAAGATCAATTCCCCTGGAGAAAATGACTGCCTCGGGCGGTGGAGTCTATTGAATCACACCCTGCAGAAGCACCTCCCCTCCCCAAGCCCCGCCTCCCCCAGGCTCCGCCCCCAAAATCTCCAGGTATTTTCCAACCCAGAGCTGACAACCCTACCTTCCAGCGATGATCCTGCTTTATACCCCCTCTGGTGGTCATGGTGGCTCTTTCAAGAGCATGCCCCATGAGCCTTTGCGAAACAGGCAATTCACACAAGCCCATGTATACATCCGCTATCTGCATGTCTGGTCTAAGGTCTCTCTAAGTACTTGCAGTTTACTAATTAGTACTAGGCCCAAAGCCCCTTTTTCCCAGTACAGGCTTGCACGGCAGTTGAGACGCAATGAGAATATTTGAAGCCAGACTAGCATGGGTCAGAACGAAGCTAGCAAAGAATCATGGGCCCCGGTCAGACGTGCCGTCAAACACGCGGGGGGGGGGGGGCATGGCTATTTGCGCCGTCGCAGTCTGATGCGCCATTATGTGATCAGATGCGACGGTGGCTTCCCCGCAGCAAAGAGGACGACGGGGGAGGAAGCCGCGCACCGGCGCAATCACACGTTGGGAGGTTCCCATACGCAGCCCGTGGCAAAGCATTTGCCACTACATACGGTGAGGTTTTTTTTTACCACACGGCTTTGGCGGCTTGCCATGGGTTCACCACGGGAGTGCTATGCCTCCCAGATGTTTAGTAGTTTTCCCCTCAGATGGCTGTGGCCCCGCCCCCAGCGTGCCTGGCGTCATCACGTCACCTCCGGCTGACGTGCACGCCAGGGTGGGGTTTCCCCCGGGGCCCGATTCCGCGGTGGCGGAAATTGGGCCTCCAAAGCGGGGGGGGGGGAATCCGCCCTCCAGGGGGACTTGGCAGCCCTATGTAACTCTCTGAGTTGCTAGGCACGTGACATCCTGAGATGAACAAGAGCAAAAGGGGGAGAAGCGAAACCACACTGCAGCTAGGCCCGGCCCACCCCCACACAAGTGTTGGTAGCTCAATTGCTTGGAATGTGCTAACTGGGAGCTCCAAGGGCAGTGAGTACTATCCAGTGTTCCCTCTAAGCTGAGTTAGTGTGAGCTAGCTCACAGTTTTTTAGCCTCCAGCTCACACATTTTTGTCTTAGCTCAGGAAGGATGGCTCCAGAGCAAACTAATTTATGCAGTAGCCAAGTTGCTTGCTCACAACTTTAATGTCAGTAGCTCACAAAGTAGAGTTTTTGCTCACAAGACTCCACAGCTTAGAGGGAACATTGGCTACCATCCTCAGCCGAAAACAACTTAGCAAGGTCACAGCGCTCTATCTGCTATCTCTAACCATCTCTTGGAAAGTTTCTATAGGCCTCTAAACAGCCTGAACCAAAGATTTTACTTTATAGAACAGAGCAAGGAGCCATTTTTCTTTACACATACTATGACTCCAAGCATTCTTTGGGGGAAACCATGCCCATCAAAGCAATACACAGCTGATATAAACTACTAAAATATAACTTTGTTCAATCCTTTGCTCCAAGGCAAGGCTATACTGTAATCTAGCTAGAACAAATTTGATGCCTGAAAACCCCCAAAGTCACTTACCTAACACAGTGTGCAGCAGTGAGAATCCAACAGCCCCCAATATAAATCCCTCCACAGGTCACATGAGATCCAGGACGTATAATTGCCACCTGCCAAGGAATTTCACCCTGCACAAAAGACAGAAAGGTTAAATTGTATCTCTTGCTGTGTACGGATTATGCTTTTTTAAATTATCTCCCTACTGTTTTGCTGTGGCTCAGTGGTAGAGCATCTGCTTGACATGGAGAAGGCCCCAGTTTCAATCTCCAATGTCTCCAGTTAAAAGAGTCTGGCAGGAGATGATGTGAAAGACCCCCTACCTGAGACCAGATAATACTGATTTTGATGGACCAAGTGTAAAATTCAGTATAAGGCAGTTTCATGGGGCCATGTGTGACTACAATCCTTCATGTATTGCCCAGACTTCAGCACTTCCTTAACTATTTCCTTAACTTTAGGTGCAAAGTTCTGCATTCTGAGGGTGCGTTCAGACGGGGCGTTTCAGCCGGCATAAACTGCACCGGCTCCAACCGGTGCAATTTATGCCGGCTGAAACGCGACCACACTTACCACCTGTCTGCGGAGCCCATCGCTTTATGCCCATTCACACACAGCGGGCGTTGGCTTTTTTTAAAACTTAGTTTGCGCATGCACATAGGCAGGCATCCACAGAATGGCGATCTTCGCACATGCGCAAAACACCCCATCCAGAAAAGCATGCCCTGAAGAGAGGACTTACCTTTAAAGTTTAAAGAGCAAACTGGCCTCCCTGAGGTCCCGGACTCCTTTAAAACCTTAAACTAAGGACCTTTTCTTTTTTAAAAAAACGCCGGGGCGAAGCTTCGCCCAAGCGCATATCGCCGACCTAACAAAAAAAATGGGGGGCGAAAATCGGAAGCCTCGGACTTCCGAACGGAAGTGGCTCTACAACAGTGGAGAGCGATCAGACGGGGGTAAAGCGATTACAACCGTTGCACTCAGGATACCACCACTTGGGGACCTAGTGGCAGAATACAACGGTTTAAAGCTCTTTGCAACGGTTAGGGACAGAAGGCAGATGTTCTACGTGTGAACGCCGGTAAGTACACCAATTCCAACCGGCACCTATACCGTTGTAAATGCCTTGTCGGAACGCACCCTGAGGGTGTTTGAACACACAACATATAAAATTGCCCTTTACTCTTAAGGAAAGATCCAGGTTGGGGAACTCCTGGAGATTTGGGGGTGGAGCCTGGGGAGGACAGGGACCTCAGTGGGGTACAAGGCCATACTGTCTACCCCCCGAAACATCTATTTTCTCCAAGGGAGCTGCTGATCTCTGTAGTCTGGAGATGAGCTGTAATTCTGGGGGATCCCGCGCAAATTTGCTCTGGAACCAGGGGTCATTTTGTAGAAAAAGAGGTGCAGGAGCTCATTAGCATAACTCATTAGCATGACTTATTTGAATATGCCACACCCCCTGACATCACCGGAAGTGTGTCAGAAGGCAACACCCACCGCTCAGGCGCCACCCCAAAAATCTCCAGGTATTTCCCAACTCAGAGCTGGCGAGCCTACTTGGAGAAAAACTGCTTCGAAATTGCCTCAAAACGACCCCTGAAAAGCCACCAGAGCAAATCTGGAAATGGAGAGCTCGGTTACTCTTAGGATTCCCTTGTAAGGCTACATTTTTGCCCCTGCCTTTACTCCAAGGAACTCTGAGTGGCATACACGGTCCTCTGTTCTCCTCCACAACTATGTGAAGCAGGTTAGACTGAGAGTGTGTCATTTTGGAGGTGCAGCCATGTTGGTCTATGGCAGCAGAACAAAAGAGAAGTCCAAGGACATTCGTTCCAGCATGAGGTTTGTGGAGTCAGCACTCATTTCTTCAGATGCTAAGAAGCTCAAGGTCATCCACTGAGTTTCTCTCCCATACGAAGCAGGAACAGGAAGCAGGAGGGAGGGGTTGAGGGAACTGGGCAAAAGGAGCTGC